ATGGTCAAAATATGGTGAAAAGGACATTCAACGCACGAAAAGTGATAGGTAATGGTATAAATGCCAAGAAATGAAAGGTAGGGACGGTTTCCAAAATCAACCCCAAAGGTAGGGACGTTTTGTGCTAATTATCCTTATTTATTTATTATTATTATTATTATTTTGTGGTAATGGAATAATTGTATATTCACTTTTGACTTTGAAGTTCTAAAATAAATATTTTTCTATAATTTGTAATTAAGAAATATGTATCTTCTAATGAATCTAGCTAGCTTAGTGTAAAATAGGGTGTTAAATGGGACGAGTCAAGTAGCTCGACTTGTCTACTGCAAGGCTCAATCGAATCTCTCAACTAAAGAGTGGCTCGTTCGCTCCATATGCTCACCCCTTGGTAGGGTGAGTGGCTCGTGCAATTTTTTTAAATTGAAATTGCATATTTTACTCATTATGACAAATCGACGGATGACTTACCTCACTTATCATCCCTAGTGCAAAATAATCACAAAATCCTTTTCTTACATCAAAATTACACTTGGTTATAGAAAAATTCATTTTCGTAGAAAAGGAAATTGTAAAGGTGGGCCTAGTTTGGGAAAGAGATACGTACGTAGGCAAGAAATATGAAGGTGGATTGGGTGAACTCTTTATGGCCCAGCCCAACTTCATGAGCCACATAGATCTATGGAAAAAATTTACAACTCAGACTTTATCTATCTCAAAATCAAAAATCAGATCTCAAGGTTTAGAATTGCAAAAATCTGGTTTTTCATAAATTAATAAATTATATTTCACAATTATTATATTAAATTAAATATTAAACTGTAATATAATATAATTAACCCATCACACTGCCACCTCTGCTCCGACGACTACTCCGGCGACCACTCCGACGACTTTTTCGATGTCACAAATCAGAAAATTTGTAGGTCACATATTATTTCCAAGTCACGGATAAAAATTTTTGTATGTCACATATTATTTCTAGGTCACATATCTAAAATTTTATAGGTCACATATTATTTCGTGGTCACAGATCAAAAAATTATAAATCACAGATTATTTTTTTAGTTACAAATTATTAATTTTAAGCTAGGTCACAGTTACCAAAAAAATCACAATCGTTAGGTTACAGACACCAAAAAGAACCACCACCGCCGTTGACCCGCCACGGCAATAACAAAAAATGACAACTACCACACGGATCACCATCACCAATCTGTGACATTTTCCAAAACCAGACCCCATCTTCGTGACGACTGCCACCAGATCCACCGCCCACGACAAACAGTGGGTCACATACATCGACATCACCTCCATCCCATTGACACCACCTCCACCCCATTCGTCGCCACTGGATAAGACTTTGTTTATCAATTGAAAATGGCTCCTACACCGTCTACAAAGCCGAATTCAACAACACCGTCGTCAAAATCAAACAACCACCTCCAATCGAAAACCCCTCATTCAAAGCACTGCCTGAATTTTACCAAAGAAACGGATAAGACTTTGTTTATAAATCAAAAACCCCTTACAAAACCACCGACATTTTCAACAAACCCATCGGCAACAGCTCAGATCTGCAACAAACCCACTTGAATGTCACAGCAGCGTCGATGTCAGCAGCAGCGTCGACGCTGCTGTTATTGACAGCAGCGTTCGGTGTCGAATGCTGCTGTGAGCAACGTCGACGCTGTTGTGAATCGCACAGCAGCGTGTGATTCATAGTGCGATTTACAACAACGATTCATGTAGCGTCGACGCTGCTGTGAATCGGCAGCAGCGTCGACACTCCGGCAAGGACGGCCGACAGGGAGGGAGAATGAGAAGGTAAAGAGAGAGAGAGAGAGACGATGTGGGAGGTGTGTGTGGGATGAATGATAAATTAGGGTTTTAAAGGAATAATTATTTAATTAAAATGATAAAAAAAA